GTTCACAAACGCTCTCCATCCAACCTCACTGAGCTCGAGCTGTTTTGCAAGGAAGAATGGGCAAGAATTCCAGTCTCTCGATGTGCAAAACTGATAGAGACTTACCCCAAGCGACTTGTAGCTGTAATTGCAGCAAAAGGTGGCGCTACAAAGTATTAGCGCAAGGGGGCCGAATAATATTGCACGCCCCACTTTTCAGTTTTTTATTTGTTAAAAAAGTTTAAATTATCCAATAAATTTCGTTCCACTTCACGATTGTGTCCCACTTGTTGATGATTCTTGACAAAAAAAATATTTTTTATATCTTTATGTTTGAAGCCTGAAATGTGGCAAAATGTTGAAAGGTTCAAGGGGGCCAAATACTTTCGCAAGGTACTGTGGATCTGTTTTATATCTGGTAATTTATTATGTGTGTATGTGCACTATATTGTGTGAAATATGTTAAAAACCAGTATAGACTGTTGCACGTGGACCCTATGTATGTTGTATCTAAGCAAAATATTTCACTTTTTTTAATCCACAATCTTGCTCCGTTCCCTTTCTCTAAACGCCAAGCAATCAGTTTACTGTATTATTTTGATACTATTATACTCTTAAATAACATCAGCTAGAAACATAATTATTGCATTTACCATCATTGCAGCATGATTTAGCAAAACAAGTGTAGTCCCAAGGCGTGTAGTAAATAAATCACTTCTTCTTGTAAAGCTCGTCCAGCAGCTTTATTTCACAGCCACATTGTACCTCGTTGGAGAACACAGTTTTTGGACTGCATGAATGACATTGGCAGTCACTGTGGAGACTTTTACTGAATCTGTGCACCAGCTGGAATGCACCTTCAGATGGGATTCTCGGAAACTTCCATCTGGCCCATTGTGGCTCCTATGCATCAAGATTAAAGTCTATTATAACATGCCACGACCGATTAAATCACAGTTACTGAAGACAAAAGGAACAGTTGGGCTTGAAAGTTTAAACATCCTGGAAGAAAGCCACTTATTGTCAAATAAATGTGTTTCTATTTTCAAATGAATGACAAAAGACCCTGATTAAAAGTCTCTCTCTAGCGTTTCTCGAGCGTGTATTTCACCTTTAACCCTTTAATGTTCAAGCCATGTTTTTCTTTTTTGGATGTTCTATTATGTAGGAACACTAATAACACAAATAATTAGTTTTTACCTTTATTTCAGTTCCAAGCTTCAAGTAGATATAGCGACTCAAAAGGTGCATGGTACTTTTTGTGAGATTAATAATGAAGAATGAACGACTTTCACATTGTAAGTTGAATTACCGGAAATCTTTAACGATATTTGAGTGTTCTGTTTTCACTATATAATAATAATAATAATAATAATAATAATAATAAATTGGTTTTATATGGCACTTTTCAGGACACTCAAAGACGCTTCATGTCATTATTCTTTCATTCCATACATGGGGGTGATAAACACTACTATAAACTACTACTATAGCCATAGCTGCCCTGGGGCAAACTGACAAAAGCAAGGCAACCAGTAGGTGCCATTAGCCCCTCCCACCACCAGCCATTCACACACACACACCAAACTCACTCTAGGCAATGTGGGTGATGTGTCTTGCCAAAGGACACAACAACAGTTTGGCACTTAACAACAGCAGCGGCCCCACTGTGGCACCTGGTGTTCCCAGAGGTCTCCCATTCCAGTACTAACCAGGCCCTGCCCTGCTTAGCTTCAGAGGTCTGACGGGATCTGGCTTTCACCACAAATATCACCACATATCTTCAAAATATGGCCAAAACATTGAAATCTATGACTGTGTGTGTAAACTTTTAACCATAGGAGGCATTGGTCTCTATGAGTGGGATGACTAATGTCCATAACTGTTAATAAACGTGTAATAAATGCCCCTAATCATCACTGTCCTTAGACCTTTCTATATCAGCAAGAAAGGATCAGTAAAACGACAGTGTTTGAAGACTCGGCTCTGGTTTCAGGCTACCATCACTTTAATGTCTGCAGTGGACTGACGGTGCACCTGTTTCTGGAAGGCTCTGGGGCTGTGTGGAAAATCTGTCTGTATCATCAGAGGGTTACGGCCGGGTCGCAGCGTGATGGGCAGCCTCTTGATAGGGCTCCTTGCTGGGATGATTATCACATACATATATAGGCTCATCCGTAATACTAACAGCCTCTCGTGTTACCGCCACATCTAAGCCTGGGACAGTGACGGACGGATGACCTGGAATCTGCTCGGCGGGGTACCACTTGTCATTCAGAACCGCCTCAGGACTCGCGGGAAAACAAAGGGAATAATTCATGTGCTTTTATGATTAATACGGTAGTAATTTGTGGTGATTTTTCTGTTGGCTGTGTCTTTTATGCAGTCAGAGAGAACATGGGCTAAAATATGCAATTATATAATTGGAGAAATATAAAGCCATTGGTGTATTTGTGGGAAATTGTTGTAGCAGAGAGAATATTCTGCTTAAACATAGTCAACATTGTTTTATTAAACTATTAAAATTCAATCTGATCTAAATTCTATAATTCCAAACAACAAGGGCTTATTGTATCTACTTTTCCATAGACAACTTAACATTGCTGGTGAAGAATCTTATACTTGCTTAAGCCTGAGCTCATTTTTGTAATCCAAGTCAGAAATAAGGTCATAGCTCCACTTTTAGACGCTCTCATGCCATATCAGCCACTGCTGATGTGTCACTCTCATCTGGCAACTTTACATTACCTCAGCCTCAGTGCTTTTAGCAGGGTTTCTTTTGATTGGCAGAGGTGGGTAGCTCAGACATTAGACATTAGCACAAATTGCTCTTTTGTATGTTTGTCATGTGTCATATAAATATCAGAATATTTCCATCATCTATTGTTGTCAATATAAGGTATAAGTTACAAGAGAAATGCAAAAATATATTGTAATATCAAAATATTCAGTTCAATTTCAATTCAATGTATTGTAGTATTGCCCCAGATCACAACCGCAGTCATCTCCTGTTGTTTTATTCCTGTACTTGTTTAGCTTGTTTAATATATGTACATTACTTGTCTGTTCCACACTGGGGACTTTTGCACTTGTATTCCAATGTGGTTTCACTGCAAATGGCAAATAACATGAATCTGAGTATCAAAGGACTTTACAAAGTTGTTGATTCCTCAACAACAGACAGAGAATCAAACCGTACCATAACAGGATATGCAATAATAACAAACAGATAGGAGCCATTGGTCCATAGGGAGCAAGATGACCAATGTCCATAAATGTCCTTAAATATCCCTGATCATCACTGTCCTTAGACCCTCCTGCATCTGTAAGGAATGACTAATAAAACCTATTGGAAAATCGTGAGAAACCTCGAGGAGCCCCACATTGAAAAAGGGAATACGCAAAAAGGTATCACAGAACTCCCCACATTATTGTCATCCATCTATTTTTTTTTACCTGTGTTGACTTTAATCACAAAGAGGACTGGAGGTTCCAAAGTAGAGTCCAAATATATGCGCTAAAGTATTATTCTCCAAAAGTCACGGTGAAAGTGTACCCAGGGCCCCGGGGAATCTTTTGTTATAATGGACTAAGGCAGGTACAAAAGCTCAAACAATAAGCTATAAAACAGTTACTCTTTCTTACTGTCTAAATTACGGCTATAATTGACACTGAGTTGGCCTGTGTTTTTCCCCAGAATGTCCCTTGTGATAAATGTGAGTATTCTGCATTGTATTGTTGCCCTATGGTCTGCACACAGTAACATGGGGGTGGGAAAACAGCTATTACTTTGTGTACAAACAGAGCAGGATACAACTGACCATGTTGCAAAAATAAATAGAGAATGAATGAAATGCCATATAGTCAATACTGGGGTTATTACAGAAAGCTCATTTTGAAGTATTGTCACCCATCAAGAAGAGGGAGCTTGGCATTCATTGAAAGTGTGTCTCATGAAAAGGGCTTGATGTCACCACTAATTGAAGTAAAAGTTGAATTTTGGATTAATATGGATTGCCTTCACTGGGCACATCTTCTTTCTTGTTAACTAATCAGGTACTGTGATGGGTAATTCAAACACCAGCTATAATTTGGTGTGAATGTCAGCGCTGGGAAAAAAGCCAAAAATCCTGCGAAAGCTTCCAATCGTTATAATTACCACTTACAGACTAGGCTTAGTCCAATACATAACAAAGTCTAGATGGCGTTTTTCAAAGGCCCAGGTGGATGGAGACAGTTCTATCTTTTCAGGCTGAGAGAAACAGAAGCACAACCCCCTGAAAGCCCTTTGAGTGAGTGCGTTTGGCCCAATATGGTCTGGAATGTTGAGACATGTGATGCGGAGAAGCAAAGCGACTTAGATGGAAGAGTGGGCTCTGTCTTTGCAATAATATTATAAAGCGCTAGGTATAGGAAAACTCACACATGCTTTAGATCTATGGAAAATGGTTGCAGCATAACTCTAAACATTGCATCAGGCACTGGAGAGAGGTTGCGTTTGAAGAAAGGCTTTTTGCCACAGACTGTCTGAGAATATGGGAGATGAATACAAAGAAGGCCCTCGGTCTTAATACTAATGCTAGACTAATACATGCATATTATGGCCTGGGGTCGAGACAATTCAAGATGAGATGAGAGACGAGAATGGGTTCATGAGATGCATACAGACAACGATTAATAATAGGAAAACGGAGCCATCAGGTTCCCTATCTTATTGCTGTATTGTGATATTTTTGCTGTCAATAAATCTGAAGATATTTATTTGAAATATAGCTTCTCTGTATAATTGCCAAAATCTGGACCTTCCTCGCAGACATCGCAAATACAAAGAGAAAGCAGTAATATACGTGTGTTGTTTTGTTGTATTGAAAAGCAAGCATACACAACAATAAGGTGAGCCATAGTTATATATTTAAAGTAGGCCTATGCAACAAAACACTCGTAAAGGAGTTGAAACTGGACTTGAAGTTAACCTATGGCTCCATCTTGTGGCGTAAAGAGGCATTGCGAGTATTAACTACCTCCACAGCGAAGCCTTGATCCTTCTCGGCAAAAGTTAATAATGCAGTGTCTTCTATGGGATTGTGATTCTCGTCTTTCCACAACCGCTCATTACCTACACACAGAACAAGCCTGTAAATTATATACGTATAAATATTATAGGTTCATAACATATCATCAATTCTCTGACCTTTATAGCAGCGGTTGTCTGTGTTGTCAGGGTGTTCATGTGGTCTTGTTGTGGGGGAGTAGAAAAATCCTGACGGTGATTCAAAGATAACCTCCAATCTTGATTCAACATTTCCCTGCTGCATTAATGAAACATGTCACTAATGGATTCATAATTATGTCCAAAACTGATGTAACATTAGCCTTGTTGACTCGCGCTCACCTTGTCTATGACTTTGTTGCCACTTGTCTCCATAGATTCTGTTCCAACTCTCATGGCATCCCACACACCAGCGCCCCCTGCTGGCGGCTCTGCAGAGGACACGGTCAACTGGGCCTCTTTCAGATCTGTGAGTGTCACCCCCTGTGAAGTGAAATGTTGTTTATCCAGCTGTAACCTCACATATTCTTTACTTTGATCATATACGTTAATTTAACTTATATATGTTCCAGTGTTGGGAGTCACACAAGTAACTTTTCACTGTAATATATTCGTATTTCTTAACTCAGTAGTGTAATTGAAAAATATTGTTGGTCATATAATACTTATTACATTCTAAGTAACTCGAGGCACTTGCAGATTTGATTGTAAGTAAGTAAGTAATCTTTCTTTATATTATAACGTCTTTCACAGTCCAGAGTCACAAAGCGCTTTACAATTGTGGTGGACATTTGTCTCTCACTCCACACAGAGATGGGAGCTAGGTCGCCAGTACAAGAGGCACATGCCAGACCAGATGTCTTTATATTCCAAAAGGTTTCTACCCTATAAAACATCAATGCAAATGTGTTATTAATATGTAAGTGGCTCAAAGTAGTGTAACTTCAAAGACATTAAACACAATTATCACATTTTAATTGCTGTAACTAATCATTTTAGAGTAACTTGCACAAAACTGACCACTAGTGACTAGTTCTTAGCCTTTTTCCAAACACATTCTTCAGTTCTGCAGGTTTGCAGCCGAGTGTGAAGCGGCTGGGATGAGAATCAGCACCTCCAAATCCGAGGCCATGGTGCTCGACCGGAAAAAGGTGCCTTGCCTCAAGTGGAGGAGTTCAAGTATCTCGGGGTCTTGTTCACGAGTGAGGGAAGGATGACAGAGATTGTGAGATTGACAGGAGGATCGGTGCAGCGTGCGCAGTGATGCGGTCGCTGTATTGGACCGTTGTGGTAAAGAGGGAGTTGAGCCAAAAGGCAAAGCTCTCGATTTACCGGTCAATCTTCGTTCCCTCCCTCACCTATGGTCATGAGCTTTGGGTAATGACCGAAAGAACGAGATCGCGGATACAAGCGGTCGAAATGAGCTTCCTCCGCAGAGTGGCTGGGCGCTCCCTTAGAGATAGGGTGAGGAGCTCGGTCACACGGGAGGAGCTCGGAGTAGAGCCGCTGCTTCTTCACGTGGAGAGGAACCAGTTGAGGTGGCTCGGGCATCTGTTCCGGATGCCTCCTGGACGCCTTCCTGGGGAGGTGTTCCGGGCACGTCCCACCGGGAGGAGGCCCCGGGGAAGACCCAGGACACGCTGGAGAGACTATGTCTCTCAGCTGGCCTGGGAACGCCTTGGGGTCCCCCCGGACGAGCTGGAGGAAGTGTGTGTGGATAGGGAAGTCTGGGCTTCTCTGCTTAGACTGCTGCCCCCGCGACCCGGCAACGGATAAAGCGGAAGAAAATGGATGGATGGATTCTTCAGTTCTGCATTTTGCTGTTTTTTCATCCTTCGTCATCCACTTCTTATAGCCATCATATGAATGTAATTATAGGCAAATGATAATTGACCTGAGTTTCTGGATGGCTAAGGCCAGGCTATTATTATTATCTATGATGTACTGTATGGGACTGACTTGAGTTGATCGGCGGGTCTGTCTGGCGTGGCGAGATTTGGCTTTTCTTTGGGACTCTGCTTCTTCATCTCTGGACGGGGCCACAAAATGTCTGGGTCAAAGGAGACAGGAGAACAGTCACCAAAGGGTGCAAGAATGAAATGCACAGAGGAGTTAAACAGTTAAACACTGTGCCATCAGAATTAAGTCATTTTCAACGATAATGTTTGGTCTTTCTTATCAACATGTAGGCACAGAAAAAAGGAGGCACTAATCTGTGGACATGTTCAGTCAATAATGGACTCTCCTTAAGCCGTCAGAGAGCTTTGGGTTTTTCCCCTTTTTCTCTGCCCACACGTGTATTCTGAAGACCTTCCATTTCTTTATCTACCCATTGTAGGGATCACTTTCTTTCCTCTTAAATTCATAATTAACATGACATTACATTAGGTTACTTTGCTATTCTCTGTGGTATATTTCACCATACCCGTCTGCAGTTACTCACATTATCTTTGTTAAAAAGGAAACACTTAAGCAGTTGTACAAATTGCAATAAAAGCATTAGCAAGAGTGTTATTTTGTTTTATTGGATGTGATTTTTTTAATGAAAACTTCCAGATACTTTTGTAACATCTTCTTCAGCGGTTCACTCTTCAAAGCAGTTTAATACCACTCTACTGTCATGCAACCACACAATCGTCCTATGCAAAAGTGTGGTCCACGATTCATCTTTTTTATTTTATTTATTAAGGACAATGACAGTCAAGTAAAAAAAAAAGAACAAATAAGAAAGACAAAAAGAAACAAAAGCCTTTTTCATCACATTCTTGCCAAATACAACTTTCCATTGATAAAGCGTCAAGAATTTCCCCCACCTTCTCAGTGTTTTTCTTTTTCTTTTCTTGATTCAACTGAAGATTCTTCTAAAATGTTCTGTGCTCGATATTTAAAGATGTTTTTGACTTAAATATGAAACGTTTTTCTACAAAAATAAATACATTTACATTATCTTTAGATTGTATGTCTCCAAAGAACCCTGATAATATGTTAAGATTTCACATTTACAATGAATCCAAAATGCTGCCACCAAAGGACACTACCAAAATAAATGACTTTTTGATTCAACATCTGTTTGTCAGAAGTGGCATAAGTCAGTCTACTCCAGCCCCAGATCTTGAACATTTTCTTTGTGAGGAGAAAAAAGTACAGAAATTTGATTTTATAGCATCTGGTTTTTACCATCTGAATCTGTTTAGGTGTGATACATTAATTTTAAAAACTTCTGTCCAGTGAATTGGTTTGTCAAAGACGTTTTTGTACATCGTATATGGAATAATGGCCAATGCTTTGTTTTGTGTTTTGAATAAAACTGTTTTAACTTATGTTAATCTTTGTTCCTTTTGACCATTTGTAGTTTCTCACCCAGGAAAGTCAGACTAATAACATTGTTGCTCCAGTATTATATATTTCCACAATTGTGTTTTAATTGTATCTAATTGACCATAATGAGTCTATTTCATCTACAGAGCAAAGATGAGTTAAAGCCCTAGTAGTGGTATGTAGTTTGTCTCGCGTTAAAAAGACCTGCTCAGTGTCTGCATCACTGTAACTGTAGGATGTGCATAGTTCTGCTGGTGTTGGAGCCAGAGAAAGAGCTGAGCCAGCTTCAGTATCAGGTAATGTTTTACCCAGAGCTTTGCCCCGCCTCTGCTTTCACTGCTATTGATCTCCCTTGAAGACAAATCACTGTCAAACCTGCAAATCTCTGCTCTACATAATGTGAAAACTTAATTAAATAGGGATGATATGTTCAAGAATTACAGTATATTAGGTCACTGAAGAAACTGTGGGAAGTTACATGACTCAACTCAATGTGAAAATGTGTTGGAACAAAATCATGAAAGAACACCCAAAATCCCCATCATGACAAAACGTATATGGAGAAAAGCTTATAGAGAAAAGTACTTCCAGCGGAGTATTAGCCAGTGACCAGCACAAGTCTAGTTCAGAACAAGTTTATAATGATGGACGCTTTGACTCAATTCTAAGCAGCACAACAAATGCAAATACACATGCATAAATACATAATCTTGAGAACAGATATTAAATGCAAAGACTTACCGAGGAGAAAAGGCTTGCATATTGCACAAACAAGAGGCTCAAGGCTGCTGTGGAGGGGAGAGAGAAGCAGGGGGAGAGGCCGGTAGTGACACTGTATCTGGCTGATGCAGAGGAGAGAGAGAGAGAGAGAGAGAGAGAGAGAGAGAGAGAGAGAGAGAGAGAGAGAGAGAGAGAGAGAGAGAGAGAGAGAGAGAGAGAGAGAGAGAGAGAGAGAGAGAGAGAGAGAGAGAGAGAGAGAGAGAGAGAGAGAGAGAGAGGGATACTTCCTGCTGATGGAGAGGAAGATGCTAAAACAATCAATACAAAGCGTCATGGACCAATGCATGTCCACTCATCCACCGGAGCACTGGTCAGAAGATAAGTGACCTGCTAATGGTTATGGCACAAAGACCTTTATATAATAACATGATTTGGAAGATTTAACAATGACAGCCAGACAAGGTTTTTTTTTTATCTTTCTTCAATAACAGACCTGGTGTGTTTTAAATTCAACCAAATTAATGTCTAAGAGCTTCTGCAAAATGTAGCTCTGCCTCTCCTCTCTACAAGTTCCTGTTACAGCCCTGTAATTGTCACCCAGTGTTCCCCAATCTTTTTGTGCCATGGCAAACCACCGGCTGAAAATAATGAACAAATGAAACTCTGCCGACCTTTGTTAACAACGCAGAGAAATTCTCATCAGTGTTATTTTGAAAATCAACAGTCTTTTCTAATCTTCTCACATTATCACTCTTTTCACGTTATTTTGACTAAATAGGTTACGGATCAAGTCCTTTGTGTTTCTTTTCCTCCACCTGCCCAGATCCTCCCACCACCAGTGGTGATCAGCCAGGCCCCGTCCAACCAGTGGGTCCTGCAGCGGCTGCTCATTTTCTGTTATCGACACTTTCCTTCAGTGTCCTTGAGCTAAAGTTCTGTTTGCACATTTGTGCTTCTTTGTAAATAAATTATTGTTACTTTTTGGACCACTGTATCTCTAATCCCCCCTGCTACATCACATTAATGAGCCATTGTCTAAGATGCCACCACCATCTATGATAACAACAAAAACATTTCCCATCAATTGGATGTGATGATTTATCAAGTGAAATTAGGTTCTTTACAAACACATGGTTGTGGAAATCTTCAAAACTGGAAAAAGGGGGAAGCATAGGGATAGGGAAGGCCATAGCATTATTCATCCTTGATTACAGCAGAAACAATATTTAGAAAATGTTTTTAAATGAATCCATTCAAAAAAGAAACTAAGATCAAAACTGGAGTTTATTTAAAAGCTGCAACAAACATTTATTGAAAGAGTGGTGAAGAGCTTTTAGAAAAGACACTGCCATACCCAGGTTATACAGCGTTGTGTTGTCAAAAATACTGTCATTGACCACATCATAACTTAATGGCTGAAACTATATCAATATAATTAAAGGGTCCAGCTTTCACACAGATCATTTGACAACACGGTGGTCATTTTTCACATTGTATTGGTAGCATACACGCCGCTTCAGCAGTAACCAGTTTATTGTTAAAAAAGGAAGTATTTCCTCTTCCAGTTTAGTCCGTTGGTAATTCATCATCAATGTGAATTATATTAAAAAGTAAAAAAAAAAACTACCCACTAAAACTCCCCCAAAACCATTTCCTTCTGTAAGTGGCAGTGCCACTGTGTAGTCAGCAGATGGAGCTCTGTATTTCACAAGGAATTGTCATGTTACATTCAACAGTGGCAATAGGCAACCACTTCAAAGTTGACAAGTTTTGAATATGGCTTTAAGTGCATTAATAATCCACAGCAACCAAGTACAGTAACTGCATGGGCTCTAACCTTGACAACAAGCTTCAGAGTAGGCGAGTGGAAACTGTAGTAGATTAAGGCTTCTGTGGTTATTATAGCAGCACAAACTTGAATTACTAATAAAAAAACAGATATTTGAGGTATTGTTCAACTTTCATTGCAGACTTCTGACCAGACGTGCCTTTTTCAAAGAAAACATGACATTGAAACTGCAGTGTTTCTTATTTCTGTGTTGGTGTGACACAATTCCCTTTTTTTGTTGTGGACAAGTCCATTTCAAAAGTCCATGCCTGTTGGGTGCACTCTAACACAAATGGGAAAAACACAGTTAAAATAACAACAAGAATCATACAATCCATTTGTTTTGTAAGCAATACTTACATTTGCCCTCTATGCTTCTTGAGCCTCCTCTTCTAACGGTGCGCTGTCTTCAGGCTGGGGTTCACTCTCTTCAACTACTTCAATAATCTCCTCCTCCTCCACCTGCTCCTCTTGTACTTCAGGAATCTCTGCTTCTTCAACAGTGTTTGTGTCCTCTGCTGGAGAGTCCTCCTGCACTCCTGCTTCATTGTCCTCCTCTGGTAATTCAACAGTCTCCTCTGCTATCTCCGTGGCGATCTGCTCTGCTGTTTCCTCTGGTTGCTCTTCTGTTTCTACCTCCTCTTCTGCTTGAGCTGCTGCTTCCTCCTCTGCCTGGTCTTCTGTTAGCTGCTCTAAACTCTTTTCCTCTTCTTCTGGGACATCCTCCTGTGTTTCTCCTACTTCCTGAGCTTCTTCTTCTGCAGTGCCTTCATCAGTTGTCTCAGCCACTTCTTCTGCTGGTGCCTCAGCCTCAGTGGAGGCTTCAATATTCAATTCCTCTGTTTGAATGTCCTCCTGATCCTCTGCAGGCTCTGTCTCAGTTACTTCTTCTGCTGCAGGTGCAGGTTCCTGCAAGACCTCCTCAGCCTCCTCCTCCACAGGGAGCTCTTCCTCAACAAAATCTTCTTTCACCTCCTCCTCTGCAAGTTCGGCCGAAGAAGCTTCATCACTCAGAGGAAGCTCCTCGCCATCGATCAGAGGCAGTTCCTCTATTGTTTCCACAACAATCTCCTCTCCTGGTGCTTCTTCCTTCTCCAGAACCTCAGCAGCACTTTCCTCCAACACCTGTATACAGACGATATATGAAGAAAAAACATGACCGGTTGGAGACGCAGCTTTAAAAATCTTTTCCCCCTGATTCGAAATAATGTTTCCTTTCATATATTGAGTGAAACATGCTTATTTCATTTGGAAAATTGTGGTTTAGATTAGTGGTCATATGTCTGTCCTTCAGCCTCAGGATGTCTGTCGTAATGATCTGTTTATTATCGTTATATTATTATTCATATCAATACACTTTTCTTGAAGCCAGATCAACTCTTTCAGACCATCTGACCAATCGATGAAGGATCTCTGTTTGAGCACAGCTCTATTAAACAATCATAGAACTATATTCCATCACATCAATCAGGTCATGATTATTGATTACATTTTAATCACCACCTGGCTCAGCCCTAATTGCCATTACAGAATGACAACATATATAGTAGTTATACATTATTGAAAGTAACACTGTACTGCACACCTGACACAGTACATCACGTGCTTGTGGAGGTGCAAATATTTTGAACTAATACACATTCACTGTGATGTATGCAATTTACAATTTTTGTTTACAAATATAGAATCTGATTTCTAAGTCTAAGTCAGGCTTACCAGTTGTAATTGCTCTTCCAAAATGGCTGGTGATGCTTCAGTTTCCATCTCAGCTCTGTAAAACAGATACATGCACACGCATTGTCATAATGATGTCTATGATTTTGAGATACTTCATACTAAATAGGTAAATGGGTATATGGTACTGAGGTACCTAGTTAGTAAATTATTCAACTGTAAAAATCATCATAACATGTGTTTTCAAAGATAAAAGGTATTTCACTGACAACACACTGTCCAACACAAAAGCCTTTATGGATGAGAGGAGGGGAGCTATTTCTCTGAACCAGTGACTCTGTTCACACCAACACCAACATGAAAAAATAAACTTTTCTAAGGTTTGCAATACATAATGCATTATTTTGTAAAGATGTTTTAAATTGCATGAACGACAAATAACATTTCCTTCCCTGCAAATATCTCACAATTTTTTATGTTGATAATAGTATGGAAGCCTAGTCTCAGTATTGGGAAAGGTGATGAACAGTGTTAGTTTAATAAGAGTAAAAGAAGATCAGCCCCAGTTCTGGTTCTACAGCCTGAGTCCTGGATCTACAGCCCCAGTTCTGGATCTACAGCCTGAGTCCTGGATCTACAGGGTCATGCCCCCCATTGTTTCTTATTTGAGGGTCTAAGGAGGGATGACATGGACATTTATGAACATATATGTTATGTTATGTTGAAACTGTTTGATTCTCAGATCTGTTGTTGGTAAATCAGCAACTTTATAATGTCCTCCAAGACGATTGCCGTTTTAGGGCTAGACAAAAGTGCATGGAATTGAACTAGAAAAGCCAGTACACATATTTCTTTTACCTCACACTGACTTCCCCCAGCTTCTTCTTAAGACTGAGCACTTCCGCCGCTTGTCCAATCAGACTTGCACTCAAAGTAGCAACCTGCTCGGTGAGTTTGGATTCGGCCGCTCCCAGGTTGCTCTCTAGTGCTTCTACTTTGAGAGATAAGCCATCCCCGAGTGTCATCAGGGCCTCCAGCTTCAGCTTGACCCCCTCAAACGCCTCACTATTCCCCTGCAGCAGGCTCTGGATGTGGCCCAGCTCGTCCACGGACACTGTAGCTTGTTGCATTTCAGCCAATCGTGTTTTCATTTCGGTGTGCAGCGACAGCACCTGAGCAGGTAGATCTGAAGTTTTAAGCTGTTCCGTTGTAGCCAGTGCCATGCCCACTTGTTTCTGGGCAAGTGAATAGGACTCTTCAAGGGCATTCAAGCGGGACACCAGGCCGTCTGAATTGTGCTGTGGAAACAGGGTAACAATCATCATTAAGACTGAGTAATGAACATCTAGTTTAATGCTATAACACTACAGTGCATTCTTCATTGTCTAGAAAACCACTATGAAGAAACACTCAATGATAAGTGGAAATCATTGTGTTATCATGATCACAATAACTAGAACGTTATGTTGCATTTCTGTTGAAGAAGGCAGTGTCCTGTTCTGTGAGTATTCTGAGTATGTTTGGAGTCTGACCTTCTTATATAAGGTTCAGATGTATAGATTTCTATAGCTCAGGTCATGAACAGGAGTTCACAAGGCAGGGTTGCTCACTTAATGAGTGATTGAGTTAACACATATTGGATTTTCCCAGAAGCCCAGTAAACAGTCTTTGGGTTCTGCAACACTATCATAAACTATATTTATCTCTGGCTCACAACATATCTTTATTATTCAGTACCTGCTTTATTCATGGTGTGACACCATACTTGAAGTTGAATGTGGTAAATGAAAAAATGGTAACAGTGTAGGTCAACTATAATCCAAGCTTCAGCAGCTGCCTGGGTTTGAAATAGCGTTTTGTACTCTTAACCAAGAAGGGTCCTGGTGGACTACTGGCATTTTGAAATATGATAGAGGCCTCCTCCACTTTACTTGCAACTGGCAACGTGGACTGATGGCATAAGCTGGACCCTTTATTTTAGATGCTATATCAACTAAATAACAGGACTTTTCATTCTCATACTGTAATTGACATATAATACAAATGATAGGAATACCAGAGACCTAGTATTGTTGATTGATTATTACTTTCTCATATAATACTTATCAAATTGACAAATGTCTTACCTTCCCATTTGACTGCCTGAACTCTTCATGAGAGGACTGCAGTTTGGCTATTTTCATCTGTATGCCCATGAGATTGTCCGTCAAGTAGGTTAGAGTTTGGTGCTGCTGGAAACAGAACCACGAGCCTATTGCGCCTCCGAGAACAACTACTACAACTATAACCAAGGCAAGAGTGTAACTGTTCCCTCCAGTGCGGACTTCTGACTCCATGACATCGTTCTTGAAAAAGTTGTCTTCATGTGTGTGGTTGTTCTTCCCTTTACGATGCTTCGCTGTCATGTTGCCCCACGGAGGACACAATGTTCTCGGAGCTTTTACGCGCGGTGCCTGTGCCTCAGACGCGAGTGAAGAGTTGGGACTACAGTGTCCAACAGCCTACAGCCGCTGTATTTGGCAACGCACGGATCGGCCTGGTGTTTAACCCGCTGCACAATAAAACCCAGATAAGCCGCAGTAGGCACTTGATGTGGAGCGAGAGGAGATGACAAAGGGGGCGTGTGCCGTAGACAGCGTGCCCGTCCATTCAGCAAGAAAAGGGAGGAGTGAGGGGCTTGTAGGGCTGAGGAGCTGGGGGGAGTGGCCGAGACCCCTACCACCATGTGCGCTGTCATTTAATCTAATAGAGAAAGTCCACGTCCACCGCTTGGGCTGAATACGAGCTATTTATGACACGGACGGCCATAGCTGCACGAGGCTTGGGGTATGTACTTGCCCACAGCTCTGTTAGGGCATGTTGTAGTCACATGATCTGTGCTCTGTGCTCTGGAAAATACTACTGCAGGGCATTCATTCATTTTGAACAACACCACTGGTTCCTATGCACATTCACAATTCAAATAACTAAACACACATGTAATAATAATAATAATAATAATAATATAAATAATAATACTATTATGCTTGTCCAACACCACTGTTTTTATGGAATTTTTTTTTTCATTTCAGCCATGTAATATGCCATCATCATTCATTATAATGTTACTTATTTTGCACTCGTCCAGTTCCTCACTAGCCTTTCCTTTTCACCCGAGGTGTGAAAAGGAAAGTGCTTTACCAGAGGGCACACCAGCAGAACAATAGGGATTGATAGAGAAGAGCTCATTCCCATACAACGTATAGTTGACTACAGGCAGGCCTGTCGCAAGGGGGGTGCGAGGCCCTGTGCGAACTTGAAACGCGAGGCCCTGCCCTGACACCTTTTTCCCAGATCTCAGGAAAGTTTTTCATGTTATAATATTTGACATGAATTCAGCACCGCCTCGCGCTGTGCGTGAAGAGATCAGCACGCGCGCAGACGTGTGTCCTCGCTCCAATGCAGCGTCGCACGCACACACGCACGCACCCACACACCAGTGTTGCCAACTCCTCAGTAAGGAAAGTAGCTATTGGCTGTCCCAAAAGTCGCTAGAAGTCGCTAAATGACGTCATCGCCTAATTTGCATAATTTGCCATTTGCAAATAACTGTAACGGACGCTGTAGGAGAGAGGAATAAGGTCGTGGGAGAGACAAAAGTGAGTAAAAACACCCTAAATATGTTTAGAACTACAAATGTACAAAAATAATTTCTACATTAACAACATTTAATGATTTTAATGCTTTGTCTAGATCCACATTACACACATCAGTTTTGTCCTGTATTGTTAAATGTTATAACAGCAAATGTAATCAAAAGATTGTTATGTAGGGTGAAATTGCTAGCTCTACAACCAACCCTCCTCCTTTATCCGGGCTTGGGACCGGCAAAGTGACCCAAAAGACACACTCTGGCAGAGTTACTTAGGTTTATTTTTGTAAGTTTTTTTTTTTTTTTTCATAGTTTGGCATAACAAATGATTTAATGTGACCCACTACTGAGAGAAAACAGAGTCACGGACAGAGCTGCCGCGGATGGAGTGGGGGGTAGTGGGGGGTGGCGGTGGTAGGAGTGGCCGGGGAGCTTTGGATGTGTGGTGGTGGTGGAGCTGAAGTTCAGTCTGCAGCAGCCTGAAAACTCCCTGTGCTTTTGAGACAGGGTCTCCTCTCTCTCTCTCTGCTCCGCCCATAGACTGTAGCTGGGACTGCTGCGCAAGGCTACTGTGAGACTGGCCGCCTGTAAGTGCTTTGGGACGGGGGAGGGGCTCACGTTGAGGACAGCAGAACAATACGTGCTTCACGAGTCTCCAAAACACCAGATAAGTCGCCAAAACACCAGATAAGTCGCCAATAACACCAGAAAAAGTCGCTAGATTTGTCGCTAGTCGCTTTTTTAAAAAAAAGTCGCTATAGGGGTCTGAAAAGTCGCTAAATCTAGCGACAAAGTCGCTAAGTTGGCAACACTGCCACACACAAACTGTTACCGCGCTTGGTATTGGTATTGAGAATGAGGAGTCACGTGATAATTTGGGCGGGGTCTAATTCGGTCGGCCATGTTGATAGGATCCTCTATCGGTTGCCAGGGGCAACGCCACTAACGCTCAATATAAACAGTCTATGCTAACGCTCCAGAGGTCTTTAACTTGAGCGCGTTTATTATTTCGGCAGTAGATACATCTACGATTACAACACTAGCAAGACAGTTAATGGAGAAAGTGAAGGCGAAAGGAAATGGACCGTACAGGGAAAAGCAAAACAACGTTATTTGGAGAAGCTCTCAGACATACAACAGGTAGACCCATACGAGCTTCCTGCAGCGGAGCGGCAAAAAGACCTTGACTTTTTGCCTCCGTGCACGTACATGGATATAGTGAATTACCTTGTTTTCGGTGTTAGTTATTATACATTGCAGGAGTTTAGAAGTCACAAGTCACTGGAGAGTTACGAGGCTTTCTGCTGTGGTTGGGTGCAGGACTTGGCCATCTACAAGCCTCCAGGCGGTGAAAACACTGTTGTACTTGCACTAAGCAGTATTACTATTTTATTATGTTGTCCATCTTTTCATGCTGAAATATTTATACGTTGACAGCACACGTTCTTTTCTTAAGCCGAATAGTGCCAATATTCAGCTTAAGAAAAGAACGTGTGCATTCAAAGTATAAATATTTCCAGCATGTAAACATAAACAACATAATAATGAAATACTATAATTAGTGCAAAAGAACAAAAAACATACAAAAAAACCCCAATTTTTTTATTGTTTGGATGTTGTTTGTTCTTTTGCACTAATAACAGTATTATTATTACTTATGTTGTTTATGTTTACATGCTGGAAATATTTATACTTTTAATGCACACGTTCTTTTCCTGAGCTAAAGTGTTTTTTTGTTGGTATGTTTGGTTCTTTTGCACTATCAGCAGTGTTACTATTTTATTATTATGTTGTCCGTCTTTTCATGCTGAAATATTTATACGTTGACTGCACACGTTCTTTTGCACTGTTAACTTTTCCAAGAGATTACACCCCCCCTCCAAAATTTTTTTAATTTTTCAATAAATATTGCTTTGCCACATGCAGTTGTTTCAAACATTTATTTCAAAAAAATTAAAAAGGCTAGGCAAGTTTATTTGTACAGCACAATTCATGTTACAAAACAATTCAAAGTACTTTAAATAAAGAATTAAGAAGCATTACAGCTGGATGCAGAAGAAGCATTAAAAAGTAACAGAATAAAAAGCATGATTTAAAATTAAAAACAAAAATTCATAAGAAAAAGATAACAGACAAGTAATTCCAGCTTAAAAGAAGCCGTGCAGATTTGTACATTAGAATAAAAAATATTCAAAAGCAGCTGAGAACAGGTGGGTCTTTAACCTGTATGTAAACAAACTGAGTGTTTCAGCTGATCTGAGGCTTTCTGGGAGTTTGTTCCAGACATGTGGAGCATAGAAGCTGAATGCAGCTTCTCCGTGTCCGGTTCTGACTCTGGACTCGGATCCAGATGACATGAGGGGTTCTGGTTGGTTCATAAGTTATGAACAAGGCACTCAAACAACACTTTTGCACATGTTCGTTAAGGCACAGCAAACAGTGACAATCTTATCTAAAGGCATTAGGTTTTCACCCTCACATTTGAGAAGCATATGCACAGGTACAGTTGAATGTAAGACTTTGAATTTGTTGCGCACAACACTAATCACCCTCTCAACGTGAATTCTGAGATGGAAGGTCTGATCTGAGGCGCATTAGAGTCAATAGGACAAGCTGGAAGGGTGAGAGCTTCCTCATCCTTCCTTGAGGCAGCTGCTGGGCCGGCGATGGGGGCTGCTGGGCTTGGGCTGGCGATGGAGGCTGCTGGGCTTGGGCTGGCGATGGAGGCTGCTGGGCTTGGGCTGGGAGTGATGACTGCTCCAGATGCTGGGTCCTGCGCTTTACTTGCCGCTGATATCGCGCTCCATCTGTTTCTTTAACATTATTGTGGCCTAACCGCAAGGATGGTGTCCAGTCAGGGTGATTCTCCAACATCTCATATGATGGTTTACCTAGAACAGAATAATCTATGTAGTCAATGCTTTAAACTGGCAACAAGTAAGTAAGTAAGTAAGTAAGTAAGTAAGCTTTATTTATATACCGCCTTTCACAGACCAGAGTCACAAAGCGGTTTACAATTGTTATTTTTTGGGCATTTGTCCTCTCACTCCACACAGAGATGGGAGCGGGGTCGCCGAACAGGAGGCGCATGCCAGACCTATTGTACATATTTTTAGTGGTAGGGGAAACCGGAGTACCCGGAGGAAACCTACGCAGACACGGGGAGAACATGCAAACTCCACTCAGAAAGGCCCTGGTCCGGCCGGGATTCGAACCCAGGACCTTCTTGCTGAGACAAGGTAGCATAATGTCATGAACAGAATCTCAACTATTTTTAGCAATCTCATAATCTCATATAATGATTTACTTACATCAGATTAATAAGATTATTAAACAATCTGGAATCTAAAGAAATATTAAACAAGAAGGTAACGCTATTCATGGTTTCATAAAAGGGCTCAGGGGGTAGTGGCAACACAAGACAAAAAAAAAGTTTGGGCACCACTGGTTTAGAGAACATAAGAGACAGAGACAAACGCTCTTTGAGTGCCCATATTCCACCAACAAGGTAGGATAATGAGCAGAAACTTAAATATTCTTAGTTAACATTAAAGGAGCAATATGTAATATTTGCATGTCAAGTCATCATTAAATGACCCGAATATTTCAAAAGGCGTTATTAAATCATACTCTTTTCGAATTCATCTTTAACTGATAACAGTAGTTCAGCCGAGATATTTGATCATCAAAATTAGTTTTACGACCCGTAAAAGTTGTTATTGTTTTGATTTTGATGTCCTACCCTCCGCCGTTTCGCCAATCAGGAAGTGTCATGTAAGTCCGTGATCGGGTTGCCAGAACTCCGCGCGGCTCATTAATCTCAGTGGTAAAATAACATGTGGCGCAGAACTAAAAAAGGTCTTGTTATGACTCTCAAATCATTAATGACAAAACAAAGACTAAAACGAGGATTTATATCGGGATGCCTTTGAACAATTGAGACAGCTGATAAAATTTTACGTGTGATGCAGAATTTTCTAGTTTCATTGCGTTCTTCACAGTACCTCTGTTCGTGTGAACCGGTGGCCTAGCGGTCTAAGCTGCGCGCTTACGATGCAGGAACCCGGGTTCTATCCCGGGCTATGTCTTTTTGTATTTATTCCATGTGATTATTAGTACAACTACAAAAAAAAAATATTTTCAGACGGCAGGAGAAGGGGTGGGTCCGTGCACCCATTTGGGGGGCCACTTGAGGTACGTGGGGTTTTTGCACCCCCATGGGGGGGCCACAGAGGGACGTGCCACCCTGGGGGCCCGCTTGGAGGAACGTTGCACCCCCTGGGGGGCCCGTCCTAAACCCCAGTCTTCCCCCGTGCCTGAGGGGGAAAAAAGAGGAAAAAGAAAGGAAAGGGGGGGAGGGGGGGGGGGGGGGGGGGGGGGGGGGGGGGGGGGGGGGGAAGGGAAAGGAAGGGAAGGCGGGGGGAGGGGAAGGGGGGGGGGGGGGGGATGTAATAATGGGAGGGGGGGGGAAAGGAGGGGGGGGGGGGAAGGGGGGGGGGAATCAGCGGGGGAAGGGGGGGGGGGGGGGGGGGGGGGAGGGGAGGGTGGGGGAGAGGGAGAGGAAAGGGGGGGGAGGGAGGGGGGGGGAAAAAGGGGGGGGAAAAAGGCCAACAACACCCACCATTGGGAAAAAAAGGCGGGAGGAAGGGGAATCTAAAATGGATATGGGCCTAAATAATTTTATTATATAGAAAAGGGGGAAAAAAAAAAAAGCAATAAATAGGGGGAAAAAAAAAACAAAATTTAAAAAAATAAAGGGAAAATCATAAGGGGGGGAAAAAAAATAAGCAAAAATATATATAAAATAAAAAGCCACGGTTATTTTCCCAATGGTCCTGTTGTGGCACCTTTTCACAGTGGCTACGCACCATGGGGGGAAGGAGGGGAAGGGGGGGGGGGGAAAACGGGTCTGGGGTGCAGGAAACTGGTCATTCACGCCGCTTCTCTGGGATCAGGAGGGGGCGTTTCCAGGGTGCTTCATGACAAAAAAGGGGGCAGAAAAGGAATTAAACCTTTGAGAAAAACCCAAATCCATTTTATTATATCTTCTGTTATAACTTGTTAGCTTTTCTTTGCTAAAGTGTGGTGAGTTTTCCTTTACAGGTGTGTAAATAGTCAGTGTTAGTGTAACGGGTAAAGTAGTTATGGATCCAGTACTTTTGCGTTTCGGGGGGGAAACTAAGGCTTTAACTAGGTGGAATAAATTGTTCCTTTGTCAGGTCCCCACCATCTCCACTGGTACAGCCTCTGGATACATCGCTCTTTGATTTGGAAATGAATTAAATTTAACCATCAAGAGTAAAAAGAACTAATTTTAGATGATCAATAACCATACTGTATGTAAATGGCCAATGCTAACCTAACGATTTACAATGAACACTAAACTCCTCTAGCTCAGAAACCGTTTGCGTCATTCTCACCATTTTGGGATTAAAATCTGTGGTTTAGCGCCCTCTGTGATCCTGGTGTTTATATTTGAATATTGTCTTTATAAATCCAATCTGGTGCCTTCATTCACACAGGAATTCCAGCTTGTCTTAGCAACTGTCTTAGCAACACGTCTGCCCCTGTCACGGTGCAAAGCTAACCCCGTCAAAACAAATACCCATATAAGGAAATTGGTTCCTGCTAGCTTCAAATCAGTCTCTTATATACAGTCTATGTCACTGACTAAGAATGATTGGATGGAGTAGGAAACCATACAAAAAATATATATTTAAAACGCTTTGCGTTGCCTTGTGTAGGAAAGGCGCTCTATAAATAAACGTTGATTGATTGATTGATTGAAAAAGCATGAGATTATACTATTTCACGTAACTTTTAACATGATAATAAGAAATGACAAGTACACAGCTTTAAACCTTCCGTTGATTCTATAATTCTCTCACTTCTTTGCTGTTAAAAATAGAGCGAGCAGGCTTTCACACATGAAGACAAGCAGCACATGTGTGGGACAAGGATGTGTGTCTACAGCTTAACTTAGCTGCAAGAGGTGATAATGACTTGACACACAAGACTCCTAAAAGTTATGATAAAATCTAAACGAAGCCCTATTATGCGAGCTTTGGTTCCTTTGGCTTTTAGAATAAAGATGAGAAGGGTTATGTCTGTGGACTGTTCAACGGCTGCTTTTCCACAAAATGATATGGCTATGAAATTGAAATGAAAGAAATCCCAAATAGCGGGAAGATTAGCTGTACATCTCCCGGTACAGATAAAATTAACCGTATATTCGTTTGCTGTTGTACAAAGAAAAACATTTACAACAATAAAGTCAATGGAATATTACAGGTTAGATCAAAAGAGACGACATTTTGAATGATAGATACATCTGTAAAAACAACGCACTTGTTTTTTATAGACTTTTTGCATCAGCACGACCAGAGTTCTGTTAGGACCAACTGTGATTCCAATTAGGCAGAAATTCTTAATTTATGGAGATTTAAAACAAGTACACACTGTTCCTGCCGTCACATAAAGAAAGTCATGTCTTTTGAAACAAATCAGTGACTTAATGAGCAGTGGCGTTCCAAGGGTACCCCAGGGCCCCAGGCAACAGAGTCCTTGGGGGCCAAGATACCGACCACATAACTACATAAAAAGGTTTATATGATAGTAGGTATAAATAAATATTTATTATAAACACCGAGGGGAAAATTAAAGATTCGGCTCTTAGCTTTACTCAAAAAACGGCTCGGGTTTACCTTTTACCATTTTTGAGCAATCTGTCTTAGAATATAATATATATAGTTTAATCCAAAACTCAGACCTCACCTGGATTCGACCCGGCTCAGCGCGGCGCAAGCGTAGCTACTTTAGCACTGGACCACCCTTAGATATGATACATGACAGTCCCCAGGCAGGATCTTCAACTTTTAATGAAGAACGTGGTTTAGCATTAGACGAGAAGTTTTCACTGCAGGTAGCTGTTGTAGCCTGTACAAGTCGACCGCTTGTGTCAAATCAGTCGGCCCTCGGGGGTCCTCTGCCAGTTTGGGGGCCCCAGGCAGCTGCCTGCCTTGCCTAATGGCAAGGAACGCCTCTGTTTATGAGGACTGTTAATGGGTCCAGTTAAAGGAGCAGTATGTATAAACCTGGCCAAAAGTGGTACTGCAACCTCTCCCACTCTCCCTGACTGAGGTTGCCAGATATGCAGATGAATCCAGCTGGGACCATAATAATAGACAAGAGTCAACAACAAATCTATAACCAACACCTTTTTCACAAGGATTGAAATCCTGGTTTTATTCCTTGTTTTGTAGTTAATGATTGGAGAATCATAACAAAACCTTTTTTAGTTCTGTAAAAGTAATTTTGAAATTCAAATATCTCGGCGGAACTACTGTGATCGGTTAAAGAAGTATTTGAAAAGAGCATGATTTATGCCTTTCGACATACAAGGGCCGTTTAATTACATGAAAATCTTACATACTGCTACTTAAAAGTAAACTCTGCTTCACTTGGGACTGCAGTGTGAGCGCGCCTTTAATCCATTGTGAAAAAGCTGAAGCTGCCACATATTTTCATGTCCCATCGCTATTCCGTTAAACGTAAAGAATGTATAACTTGGATGTGTTTAGTGATATGGTTTAGTAATCAGCGTCTGGGTTAAGTCAGTGCGTGAAGGCTGCAGACTGACTGACCTCCCCTCCATGAAGTGTAGCGTCTGCTTTGGAACTGATCGACTGATAAAGAAACTGGGAAAAGAATATGGAGCCAAAGAATAAATGTCTCTTACAATCATTCTATATCATTATTGCATATTAGTATACCATGCTGCTTCAGATACTTGCACACAGAAATGGTTATGTGCAACATGGGCACTTTCATATTCCTACTGGGTATTTTAGGTAATCAAGCACCATTAAAAAATTCTGTAAAAAAAAAAAAGGAAGGTAAGTATATTTGTGTAGCACAATACATACACAAGGCGACTCGACGTGCTTTACAAAACGAGAAAGGAAACAAACCACCTCCCAAAAGGCATATCAACAAATCCTAAATCATGACGTGATCTCATCTTTAAGCAGCATTCAATCGGATTGATTCTTCATACGACGAGGCTGTTTAGTGAGGGTAGGGAAAAATAAGCTCCATCTGCTTCGTCTAACCTCTTTTCAAACCTGTATTAGTGTGAATTTTTGTTCTGCAGGTTTGAAATACAATCAAACTAACTAAATAAATCATTATAGGCATTACAGGCCTATCTTCTCTATATATATATTACACACACACACACACACACACACACACACACACACACACACACACACACACACACACACACACACACACACACACACACACACACACACACACGCACACACACACACACACACACACACGCACACACATATACACATATAGTTTAACTGTTAGATTATCTACATTGACCAAAGATTTTGCATGTACAGGTTTGGTACAACATGGACATTATTTTTACGAAGCATTTTTTTAATAGTTGAAAGTTAAAGAAGAGGAAGAAAACTGTAAGTGTTAGCTTTGAATGCGGGTCATGAAGGAAGCCGATACCTGCTTTGTAAAGAAGGGGTTGTAATTAGTAGTGGGGTTAAACAAAATTTTTTTAACTTTGCCCTGCTCCTTGTTGGACATGTCCTTGTTTAAAATGTTGTTGTTGTTTTAAAATGTAGCAAGGCCCTCGATTTATGTAAGTAAGTAAGTAATGTTTATTTATATACCGCCTTTCACAGACAAAGGTCACAAAGCGGTTTACAATTGTTATTATTATTATTATTTTATTGGGCACTTGTCCTCTCACTCCACACAGAGATGGGAGGGGAAACCGGAGTACCCGGAGGAAACCTACGCAGACACGGGGAGAACATGCAAACTCCACTCAGAAAGGTCCACCCTGGTCCGACTGGGATTCGAACCCAGGACCTTCTTGCTGAGAGGCAAGAGTGCTATCCACTCAGCCTCCGTGCCGCTAACGATAAATGCTACTCAATCTGATTGATTCTTCATACGACGATGCTGTTTAGTGAGGGTAGGGAAAAAATAAGTTTTGTCTGCTTCGTCTAACCTCTTTTCAAACCTGTATTAGTGTGAATTTTTGTTCTGCAGGTTTGAAATACAATCAAACTAACTAAATAAATCATTATAGGCATCATAGGCCTATCTTCTCTATATATATATTACACACACACACACACACGCACACACAAACAATTTGTTTTCTTGTTGAAAGTTAAAGAAGAGGAAGAAAACTGTGAGTGTTAGCTTTTAATGCGGGTCATGAAGGAAGCCGATACCTGCTTTGTAAAGAAGGGGGTGTAATTAGTAGTGCCCTGCTCCTTGTTGGACATGTCCTTGTTTAACATTTCTATATATGCATTGGCTTATGGTTGCACAAGTTTTTTTTATTTTTATGTCTGAATAAATAAATGCATTCATTCATTGAAGTTCAAACTATGTCACTTGAAATAACTGTTTTTATTAGTTGAATTGTAGCAGGAGGACAGGAGATGCTCAGGGACATTCATCCATTTTCTATGAACAGAGGAACAGCTGTTTTTCTTGTTATTTTTTTTTTTAAGGAAAGACTGTTTTAATTATTTGGCTTTTCAATTTGCTTTTGGCATATCAACAATTATGAAAAATTCCTTTGAGGCGACTGCGGTTGTGAATTTTAGGCTGCGTAAAAATATATTGATTATTAGGATTTCAGTTGTGGTCTCTGGAGTACATATCCTGCTGTCCAATCCTTTAAAGAAGAAATATTATGCATTCTTTTTTGCCTATTAGAAAAATGACAATGAGACTATGTACTTTGTCGATTCATGTTTTAGAATAACAAAAGATATTATAGCGATATAGAGAGAATATCTGTAGGAAAGGTATTGTGAAACAAGTCTGAAGGGTTAAAAATGATTTCTGCCTGTAACTCCCTATGCTACCACCAGAGGGAGGAG